AACAACAATAAAAAAGTGCATTATCTGCAAAGTGCAATAAAACAAGATATGCCTCTACTTGCTAAAATGGTAGTCACGCATTTAATTATTTAAGAAAAGTTGGCCAGGCACAGTGGTTCATGCATATAATCCCAGCACTTTGGAAGGCCGAGGTAGGAGGGCTGCTTGAGGCCAGGAGTTCAAGACCAGCCAGGGCAATACAGCAAGACCCCATCTCTACAAAAAATAAATTAGCCATGTGTGGTGGCATGCACTTGCAGTCCCAGCTTTTTGGGAGGCTGAAACAGAAGGCTCACTTAGGCCCAGGAGGCTGAGGCTGCAGTGAGCCATGATCACACCACTACATTCCAGCCTGGACGACTGAGCAATACCCTGGTATTAAAAAAAAAAAAAGGAAAAGAAAAGTCAAGGCACATTTGTCACGCCCTCTATAAAGAACTTATCCTGTGGACATTCCAATTGTACAGTACAGCAGTTAAGGGGATTTGGGTCACTCAGTTCTGGAGTCTCAGAACTTAATTACTTGTTTAACACAAGGTAAGTTGTTACTAAGGCATGGTTTTCTCCTCAGTAAAATTTAGAAATAATTTGTTTAAACACGATTCAAAATTGGCCAGACATAGCGGCTCACGCATGTAATCCCAGCACTTTGGGAGGCTGAGGTGGGTGGATCACCTGAGCTCAGGAGTTCAAGACCAGCCTGCGCAACATGCCAATACCTCATCTCTACCAAAAATACAAAAAATTAGCCAGGCCTTGTGGTGCACGCCTGTGGTCCCTGCTACTTGGGAGGCTGAGGTTGGAGGATTTCTTGAGCCTGGGAGGTGGAGGTTGCACTGAGCCGAGATCGTGCTACTGTACTCCAATCTGGATGACAGAGTGAGACCTCATCTCAAAAAAAAAAAAAAAAAAAAAGCTTTTGCAATAATACTATCCTCATAGGATTCTTGGAACAGGTAAATAATGTATACAAAGCATTTAGCATAAGCCTAAGAGGCTAAGTAATGATTATTAATGCTATTATTATTCTCAATACTACCATTTGCAGGGAGGGGCTCAATTTTTAACAGCTTTGAGATATAATTCATATATATACAATTTGCCCACTTAAAGTACACAATTTAGTGTTTCTTTTTATATTCAGATATATGCAACCAACACTACGGTCAATTTTTGAACATTTTCATTACCTCAAAAGGAAACCCCTTATCCTTTAGCTACCACTCCCGCATCCACCCTCTATCCCCCAGGACTAAGCAACCACTAATCTACTTTTTGTCTCAAGAATCCCCTCTTCTGGGGCCCGGTACGGTGGCTCCCATCTGTAATCCCAGCACTTTGGGAGGCCTAGGTGGGCAGATCATTTGAGGTCAGGAGTTCAGGACCAGCCTGGCCAATATCATGAAACAACATCTCTACTCAAAATACAAAAAAAAAAAAAAATTAGCCAGGCATGGTGGCACACACCTGTAATCCCAGCTACTTGGGAGGCTGGGGCAAGAGAATCGCTTGAACCAGGGAGGCAGAGGTTACAGTGAACCGAGGAGCCAAGATCGCACCATTGCACCCCAGCCTGGGAGACAGAGCAAGACACTGTGAAAAAAAAAAAAAAAAAGAATCTCCTATTCTGGACTTAAAGGAATGGAATTGTATAGTGTGTGGATTTCTGCAACTGACTTTTTTCACTTAGCATGTCTTCAAGATTCATCCATGTTGCAACTTGTATCAGTTCTTTATTTCTTTTTATGGCTTAATAATATTCCATTGTATGGATATGCTATATTTTTGTTTGCGCATTTGTTCACCAAGTTTATTAAACAACCACAAGTCAGATGACCCAAATTTAATTTCACCTGTGTAGATATGTACCTTTCAATTCAACCAGCAAAAGATACAATAAAAAGTTCCTGTTTTTCACAGCCTTCCATCTAGGCAGATGAGAGGTGGGGTCCAGGACAGGCAGACACATGTCAGGTTGTGAGAAATGCTATAGCACAAACAAAACGATACAGGCATACAAGAGAGGTGGAGAAAAAGACTGATTCCAACAATAGGACCAGTAAGGTGTTGGCAGAGAGAATATTTCAGCTGGAGCCAAAAGCAGCAAGCCTTGGAACCAAGGTGTGGAAGGCAGGGAAAGCCTTTCTGGAGCACAGAATGAGAGAGAAACAGGAAGGCACGCCTCTGAATGCCAGGCTTAATGTGTATTTTATTCTATGCGCACTGTGATGAAACGTTCTGAGCAAAGTCACTATAATATTTGTGTTTTTAAGAAAGGCAACACAGGGGCAATGAGTCTCTTGATGAAATCGTTCTATTTTCTGTCCCAAGTTTTCATGCCTGCAAGTCTTGCAACGTCACAAACATTTGCATGGGGAAATCAAGATCCATACCCACTGCTGGAGCTCTGGAAGAAGTTACTATGTACATCCAATATAGGACTACATCCAACATAGGACTACATTGTTAGCTCCAATCAGCAAAAACAATTCATTCCTTTCTGAGATGGAGTCTCACTCTGTCGTCCAGGCCGGAGTGCAGTAGCACAATCACAGCTCACCACAGCCTTGACCTCTCAGGCTCAAGCAATCCTCCCACTTCAGCCTCCCAAGTAGCTGGGACTACAAGCACATGCCACCACACCCAACTAATGTTTTCAATTTTTTTTTAAAGACAGGGTCTCCCTATGTTGCCCAAGCTGGTCTCAAACTCCTGGGCTCAAGCAATTCTCTCGCCTCAGCCTCCCAAAGTGCCTCCATGCCAGGCCCTGTATTCATTCTTACCAGTGAAAATCAGGCCCTGAATATTCACAACTAAAATCAAGACTCTTTCTACAAATCCTGCTAACGGAACGTGTTCAGACTCCCAGACTATCCAATATACATAAATGGCAAGAACTTTCTGTCAGGTGTTCTTTGGAACAAGGAGCCATTCTATTAAATAACGGCGGCAGTGGCCACTGGCTACTTTCTCTGAGCACTTAGTAGGACTCCATCCTTGAAAATCAAACACAGGATGAGGTTAACTTCTACTGTGTCCAGGCCCTGCTTGCTTATTGACTTCTAACATTGGTTGAAAACTTCAATTTTCAGTGGCAGATTTGGATCAGCTGAAGCTAGAGGCAGTGACAGATGTACAATAAGGTACCCAAGGTTCTTATCCAAGTTCAAGCCAAAAGAAAAAGGTCAGGAAGAGAGAAGGCGCCTGTTTGGAATAGTAACCAGCCACATGTCTAAAGCGGGCTTATATCGGAATGTCACAACTTGTAAGGACTGTTCATTGTGCACTTGTATATGCATACCTGTTTAATAACTACAACATATGTTATGTCCCTTTAGCATATATTCTTATGTCCTTATAAAGCCTTTCTTATACTAGTCTAATGTCATTTGTGTCCTTTTGACATACATGAGCTATTGATACTAGGAAAAATCCCCTCTTGCTCCCCAGTATTTTGACAGGAAATAAACTACATAGAGGATGCCATAAGACATTCTATTTTTCACAACAATCGAATGAGCCAAATGAATTGCAGAAGCCACCATTTTTAATGAGGAAACACTGAATTGGCAAAGCTAACGTGAAATAACGTGTCCTTGAAGATGTCTAGCGCGTTTAAGTATGCCAAGCATTAAGAGTTAACTGATCACCAACCATCCAATGACAAAGGCAGTCCTCCCTGTTTTGTTTTAGAGACAGAATCTCGCTCTGTCGCCCACGATGGAGTGCAGTGGAGGAGTATAGCTCACTGTAAACTGAACTCCTGGGCTCCACCCATCCTCCTGCCTCAGCCCCCGGAGTAGGTGAGAACACAGGCCCCAAGTCAGTTCTTGACTTTCAGGCCAGGGTCAAATGTTATAGTGCATGTATTCATTTCAACATTTACTGAGTACCTAATAAAGTCTGGGAATAATACAACTTTATTAGCTAAGTCCCTGCCTACGGCAGTAGCGGAGAGGTAAGGCTGGAACCCCTCAACAAATAAATCTAAACCTATCAAATATCAAGTCATGATCTTGGAGGGCGCAGGGGAAGGCAGCATAAGAGATTTAGAGGACAGCTGCGGTTACCTAGATCTTTCTGAGGCAGCATAATACAGGGCTTAAGAGTGGGACCCACAGGGCACTGCGGTTGCTCATGCCCAGCACTTCGGAAGACCTAGACGGGCACATCACTTGAGGTCAGGAGTTCGAGACCAGCCTGGCCACTATGGCAAAACGCCGTCTCTACTAAAAATACAAAAGTTAGCGAGCTTGGTGACCTGTGCCTATAGTCCCAGCTGCCTATAGAGGCTGAGGCACGAGAATCGCTTGAATCCGGGAAGCGGAGGCTGCAGTGAGCCAAGACCGCGCCACTGCACTCCAGCCTGGGCTACAGTCTTGTCTCCAAAAAAAAAGTGTGGCACCCATTGCATCAGGCTGTGCAACTCTGTTTCTTACTAGCTGTAAAACCGTGGCAAGTTACTGGGCCATTTGTGCAAAACGTTAATTGATTTACCAACACTTAAACACAGCTTGCTAAGGGCCAGGCACTGTTCTCCTTGAATCTCATAGCAGCCCTGTAAGGTAGGCACTACTGTTACCACCGTCACTTTGCAGACAGGGAAACCGAGCGATAAAGAAGTTAAGGGATTTCCCCAAAGCCACAGCTAGAAGAGCAGCAGAACTGCGATTCCAATCCATCAGTGTGCCTCCACTATCCCCATTCCTTAACATCGTGCTAAAGGCTGAGTCACTAGCCCTAAGGAGCCCACAACAGTCTCTGGCAGAGAGGAATTCGCACCGGGAAACGCGCCCGCCGCCAACGATCCCCAGAACCGGCGCGGGCACGGCGCGGCGGCCACGAGCTCTGGGCACCGAACGCCAGGCTGGAGGCCAGGGCAGCCGCCTGCCCGGCCACCGGCTGGACAGTGGAGACCTCAGCTGACCGCGAGCCCCCAGCCAGCCCGCCCGCACCCCTCCTCACGCCCACAGGAGCCCGCCACGCCTTTGCCGCCTCACCTCCTCCTCCCTCCATCGCGAGATTTGCAAGTGGTTTGGGGGGGGGGGGAAGGAAATGGGTCCTACCATCTTCTCGGAGCCGGAGTTGGAAGAAATGAAGAAATAATGCTTTAAGTCAATGAATTCCTCCTTGGTACCCACTATCAGAAACTCTCAATGGTAAAATTTTAAAAACTGACAAATTCAATCTGCTCTTGACTTGTGTGTCCTAGGATTTCCACTAAGTGTCTTCAAACCTCCCCCCACGGCTTCCTGGATAATAGAAGTTCCCGAAGGCCGCCGATTCCAGAAGCTACTGTCTGGCGTGAAATTAGTCTCAGTTAAAATATAAGTCCCGCGCGTCTTGTGCTGCGCGTGCGCAAGCTTTTGGGTCCTCCCGCGAGAGAAAAGTGCGTTCTCGCTTCCGTAGCGGTCTCCGCCGGTTTGGGTAAAGTAACTCCGGCTGCTCCACCATGGCGTCTATGGGGACCCTCGCCTTCGATGAATATGGGCGCCCTTTTCTCATCATCAAGGATCAGGACCGCAAGTCCCGTCTTATGGGACTTGAGGCCCTTAAGGTAATGGCACAGGGACCTGTTCGCGGTGGGCTGAGGGGAGGTGGCAGAGGCCGTGGCTCTGCGCCTGCGCGAGCTTAGGAGCCGCTGTGCCATGTGCTCCCCGGAAAGGTCGAGAATCCCCGTCTCCCGGCGGTCTCCGGCGGCGCACCCGGCTCACTGAGCTCGGGAGAGGCTAGCGCCTAATCCTGGGCTCGGAATGTGGGGGCCAGCCAGGCTGGGCCGCCAGCGCCCTTCGGAGTTGGGCGGGGCCGCTCAGTCAGGTCGCCCGCGGGAGCGAAGCGGGACCGCCTCCCCGACCGGCCCCTCCAGCCTGACGGCCGCGTGGGGCTGCGCTCCCGTGGGAAGGCGCCGGGAAGATGCTCCGTCACCTGTTGGTTAAGGCACTGCGGCTTAACCCTGCGCTGGTCCACCCGCAACGGCGCTTCCGTTTTCTTTGTCACTCGTAAAGGTGTGGTCACTTACAGGGTATTTCATTTCTGAGTGCTTTTTTGCCCACCCTTGAGGAAAAATAGCGAAGAGTGAAAAACGGACACACAAAATCGTAATGCAAGGCGGTGTGCGGTGAGAAGGACAGCTATGGAGAGAGTTCTGATAAGCGTAGTGCTGGAGGACAGCGTTAGATCAGGGGTAAGAGCATTCTAGGGAGAGGAAACGTAGAAGTAAAGGCTTGGGCAAGAATGCGCATGGCACTTTGTAGAGTGGAAGAGCCACCCGGTTTTAATGGAGCACTGAAGCTATTGAATGCCCAGGATGGAAAACACGACGTTATCCTTGGGGAAGAAGGGGAGCCACTGGGGGGGTTTGAGCAGAATTTAAGTAGAGCTGCACTTCAGGCAGCAACGCTTGAGATGGACCGAAGGGAATAAGGAAGACCAAAGGGGTTAAAGAAGCCAGGGTGGGGGTGCAGGTAAGAAAGGGTCATCTGAGCACCAGATGTTGACAGAAAATGCAGAGGAAGGGACACTCCGAGAGGGCCTTCAGGGTTTGTTATAAAGTGAATTCCTAATAGACCATTCACCCAGGTCTCAGGTGTTCCTGTTCACATAATGTCTTGGAGGTTGACTTACACAAAGAAACAATACAGTTCCCCCATGGACTCTTTGACTTAGTGCAAGTTACACAACGTCTCGGAACCTCCTTTTCCAGTGGAGGTGATACGCCTCCATAAAGCTGAAGACTTGACAGTGATGTTCAATGGAGTGACTTAGAGGGGCTGCACAGTGGGTGATCCATGGCAGGCACTCAGTATTTGTTTCCTTTTTAGAAAGAAAAAAGTTTCAAGCCTCTTGTATTATGTATCCTATTTTATTTTTCACTTACAGGGACCTGCAGGGAAAGTAACATGCAGTACACACACGCGGTATAACAACATATCTAAAGCTGTAGGTGGTTTTGCATCAGCCATTTTGTTCTAACTGCATGCATTTGTGCCCAGAAGTCTCACACTCTGAGGTAGTTGTTATTTTTCCAAAACTGGGGACTTGGGCCCAGAGCAGTTGAGAAATTGTTCTAAAGAGCAATTGCAAGCAAAGATCAGCACCATGGTTCAAGGCCACCTCTCGGAGTCAAAGCCAGTGGTTAGAGCAGCATTCTCAAGCTTGACATTATTGACATTCGAGGTCGGATCATTCTTTGCTGTGGGAGCTCATTTGGCCAGTAACGTGGGTGTTTAAATCTCTTTGGATGCTGTGGGTAGGCATCCTTTGAGTGTTGAGGCTCAGCAGTGTAGGGATATACACTTGCTCCCTGACCTCCTAAAACGTCCAGCTAACTTGAAGAACCAAAATATATAGAAATTGAAGGCAACAGTGAAAGAAATGTATGGGCCATGACTTGAACGTTTTGATGGTAATGGTCACGGTCACGGTTCTTTTTCTCTGGTCATTTAGAGCCTTAAAGGTAATATGTATTTTGTTGAGATTCTTCAGTTGTTTAACACTTAACTGTATAATATTTCACCTTAAAAATGCAGGCATTGACCAGGCGCGGTGGCTCAGGCCTGTAATCCCAGCACTTTGGGAGGCTGAGGCGGGTGGATCACAGGATCAGGAGTTCAAGACCGGCCTGACCAACATGGTGAAACCCCGTCTCTACTAAAAATACAAAAATTAGCCGGATGTAGTGGCATGCACCTGTAATCCCAGCTGCTTAGGAGGCTGAGGCAGAAGAATCGCTGGAACCTGGGAGGTGGAGGTTGCAGTGAGCCAAGATCATGCCACTGCTCTCCAGCCTGGGTGACAGAGTAGGACTCTGTCTCACATAAAGAAAAGAAAAGTGCAGGCATTAGTTGGCTTAGGAAGGAATCATATTCTAAAACCGTATAATCTAAAACAGAGCAGGCTAAGTTTCCAGGCCAGCCAGCATAATTCTGTTTTGTCCATAATATGTATTATGGCTTGATGTTTAGACTCTTCCCTCTGGAAACACACAGAACTAGCAGAAGGAAGAAAAAGGTTTTTTCCACTTTACCGTGCAGTAGAACAAAATATATATCGGGATTTCGGGATCTCTCCTATTTGCCAAATTCTTTACATCCTTTTCTTTCTGCCTCTTGCTTTCTCCTAAAAAATAATAATAATAATAATTTCACTCAATTTGGTAGCTAAATGTGAAAAAAAAAAACAGGTAACTTTTTTATTATCACTTTGACAGCTACTTCACCTTCCTTAAGAGGGCCAGTTGCGGGCCAGGCGTGGTGGCTCACGCCTGTAATCCCAACACTTTGGGCGGCCAAGACGGGTGGATCACCTGAGGTCAGGAGTTCAAGACTAGCCTGGCCAACCTGGCAAAATCCTGTCTCTACTAAAAATACAAAAAAAAAAAAAAAAAAAAAAAATGAGCCAGGTATGATGGCACATGCCTGTAATGCCAGCTACTGGGGGGCTGAGGCAGGAGCATTGCTTAAGCCTGGGAGGCGGAGGTTGCAGTGGGCCAAGATCATGCCACTGCACTACAGCCTGGGCAACAGAGCAAGACTCTGTCTCAACAACAACAACAAAAAAAGCCAGTCACTAACTTTGATCTATAAATATAATTATTGGGATTTCAGGTGGGTGGAGGAAGATTTTTAAAGCAAGAACATTTTTTATTTTTATTTTATAACGGGGTCTCATCATGTTTCCCAGGCTGATCTCAAACTACTGGCCTCAAGCAATCCTGCCTCAGCCTCCCAAGTAGGTGGGGTTACAGGTTCTAGCCACCGCACCCAGCTCAAAAGATTATAACTCTGCAGTAAATCCAATAAATTGCAGTGTGACAATGAGGTGTTGTATGTTTACAGTTGGACTGTTTCTCATGAGTCCAGGCCCCTTCTTTTTTTTTTTTTTTTTTGAGACAGAGTCTTGCTCTGTTGCCCAGGCTGGAGTGCAGTGGCCAGATCTCAGCTCACTGCAAGCTCTGACTCCCGGGTTTACGCCATTCTCCTGCCTCAGCCTCCGGAGTAGCTGGGACTACAGGCGCCCGCCACCTCGCCCGGCTAGTTTTTTGTATTTTTTAGTAGAGACGGGGTTTCACTGTGTTAGCCAGGATGGTCTCGATCTCCTGACCTCGTGATCCACCCGTCTCGGCCTCCCAAAGTGCTGGGATTACAGGCTTGAGCCACCGCGCCCGGCCTCCAGGCCCCTTCTTATCTGCAGATGTGGAACCCACAGATAGAGAAGCCTGGATGCAAGGAACTTGAGCATCTGTAAATTTTGGTGTCCTCAGGGGTTCCTGGAACCAGTTCCCCATGGATGCTCAGGGAGGACTGTGTTGCACAGTGATCTTGCAAGGCCTGTAAGGTCATGGTCATACTGTCCCTGTTCTCAGCTGTAAATGCGCTGGTAAAAGAATCTGTCTCATTAATGTGTTGAAAATTCAGTGAGATAACACAAAGCTCTTAGTTGTTTTTCTTTTATATAAGAATTGCTTATTAAAACTGGAGTTATAAATGTTATAATACTTAGACCTGTCTGTTGCCCCTTAAATGTAGAAGCTTCTAGAAAACAGAAACTAAATCGTAAGTGATTTTTAATCATCAGATGTGTGCTTTTAACCATTAAAATTGTATGTAACAGTATTTGCTTTTTCTGTTTGTTTCATTAGTCTCATATAATGGCAGCAAAGGCTGTAGCAAATACAATGAGAACATCACTTGGACCAAATGGTAAGAGTCCACCATTCCATGTTTTTAGCAAAAGATTTAAATCATAAAACTGTCAATACAAACCTCTCTACAGAAAGGTGGAGTATTGAGGGCGGCATCTTACTTCCTTAACACAGCGAAAATTTTGTAGTGTATCTCAGGTTTCTCAAACATGGTTATAATTGCGTGTAGTTTTAGGTTTCTTTTTTTTTTTTTTTAACACGTTTAATATCATTTCATTTGCATTTTCCAAATCATAGTTGTCTTGAGATTAATACTATACTTAATGATGCTCCGTAATTTTTTGCCATTTGCATTAGCCAATCTCAAAATGCCTTCATGCAGCTATTTTGTGTATGTTGAAATATTTGCATATAATAAATTGCATAGATAAGAGCTGGGTGCAGAGGTCTTTTTTTATAGTTTGTGATATTGGTTGCCAGTTGTTTGCCCAAAGCCTACTAAATGTTGTCTTTTTAGGGCTTGATAAGATGATGGTGGATAAGGATGGCGATGTGACTGTAACTAATGACGGGGCCACCATCTTAAGCATGATGGATGTTGATCATCAGATTGCCAAGCTGATGGTGGAACTGTCCAAGTCTCAGGATGATGAAATTGGAGATGGAACCACAGGAGTGGTTGGTAAGAAAAGACAAAACATCCTTCCTTTCTCTTTTAAGAGATGTCATTTAAGACCATAGGGCTAACATGCCTGCCGAGATTGTTGTCTCTGAATCAGAGCCTGAGGAGACAGAAAATCCAAGTTGAAGAACACACTACAAAACAAATGCCTGGGACTTTCAAAACTGACAGTGTTAAGAAAGAATAGAAAGAGGGCTGGGGATTGTTAGGCAAAGAGAAATCTATAATGATTGATTGGACGCTGATTTTGTCTGTCTTTTAAGCTGTAAAAGAGGTTTGGGAAAAGTGGAGGAATTTGATTATGGATCATGTACTACAATGCTGAGTTTCCTGAGCGTGACCGCTGTATTGCATATGTGTAGGAGAATACCCTTATTCTCAGCTGTATGCCTCAATACTTAGGAGTGACATGTCATGGTTTCTGCAACTGATTCTCAAATAGGTGAACAGAAACAGTATGTACATGTAGAGAAAATGTGGCAAAATGTTAATAAGTAAACTGGTACTCATTTTAGTATTGTACCTTGTTTTTTGTAGATTTGAAATCTTTAAAAAGTTGGGGAAATTGAAGACAAAATATCAGTAATATTCTTTTTTGCAGATAAAATTTGAATTCATTCATTCAGCAAATATTTATTGGATACCATTGTATGCCAGGCACTGTTCTCGGTGCGCTTGGAGAGTGGTAGATTTAAACAAAATTCATCTATGTTGACCCTAAAATGAGGAGAAAGGAGGATGGGGGTGGGGGGAATAAATAATAAACAAATGTTTTAGTCTTATCACCAGGATGAATTTCACTGAATAGACCTTGGCCCATGAAACATAATAGCTTTTTACCTCTTAGAAAAATGTTCTTTTTACATTATATTCTTTAGTTACATTGTTTACATCACTGAGGGTTGAATGTTCGTCTATAAGGGGACACGTGTCCTATTAGACCTTTGCTAGAACCAAAACAAGAGGCTTTCTTTTAAAAATAGATAGCTTCTGCCTCTAAGATGACTTCCAGCTTAATTCTGGAAGCTTTTTCTTTCCATGGCAGCATCTAACTTGTGCTGATTATACTAAAAGTGAAGTTTTGTTGTTTTCCTAAACTGATTGTCTGCTGGTTTGTTTGCAGTCCTGGCTGGTGCCTTGTTAGAAGAAGCGGAGCAATTGCTAGACCGAGGCATTCACCCAATCAGAATAGCTGATGGCTATGAGCAGGCTGCCCGCGTTGCTATTGAACACCTGGACAAGATCAGTGATAGCGTCCTTGTTGACGTAAAGGACACCGAACCCCTGATTCAGACAGCAAAAACCACGCTGGGCTCCAAAGTGTACGTTTCAGTAGACGATACAATCACACATTTGTAGAGGCAGCTTGTTTGCCATCTCTTAAAGGCAGCACAAAATGACCACTGGTGGATTTGTGTTGATTTGATGATTTCTTTCAATTACTTGGTTTTGCTTTGTTTTTATTGTAGATGCAGATACATGCATTTTGTATTGTAGTTGAGAACTGAGTTTCTAAGTTCATGTATAAATCCCCTTGACAATATTTGCAAAATATAGTTATTTTAATTTAGCAGAATAGATTGTGTTAAAAATCAGTCAGGGCTGGGTGCAGTGGCTCCTACTTGTAATCTCAGCACTTTAGGAGGCCAAAGCAGTAGCCTGCTTGAGCTCAGGAATTCAAGACCAGCCAGGGCAATATAGTGGGACCCCATTGCTACAAAACATAAAAAACCAGCCAGGCATGATAGTGCACTCCAGCGGCTGAGGTGAGAGGTTGAGGCGCAGCAAGCCATGATCATACCACTGCACTTCAGTTTGAGCAACAGAGCGAGATCCTGTCTCCAAAAAAAAAAAATAAAACTAGAAAGGGTCCTACCTGGAAGATATGTGAATTTTCTTTCTTTTTTTTTTTTTTTTTTTTTTTTTTGGGATGGAGTCTTGCTCTGTCGCCCAGGCTGGAGTGCAGTGGCGCGATCTCCACTCACTGCAAGCTCCACTTCCCGGGTTCACACCATTCTCCTGCCTCAGCCTCCCGTGTAGCTGGGACTACAGGCGCCCGCCACCGCGCCCAGCTCATTTTTTTTTAAATATATTTTTAGTAGAGACGGGGTTTCACCGTGTTAGCCAGGATAGTCTCCATCTCCTGACCTCATGATCCGCCCGTCTCGGCTTCCCAAAGTGCTGGGATTACAGGCGTGAACCACCACGCCCGGCCAGGCTATGTGAATTTTCATAACACTTTCTATAATTTCTTTGCTGGGGAGCCACTGGCGTGGGTTCCCCTTTTTATTCAGCAAATTGCCGATCCAAAATTACAATTTAGTAAAGAGAGTCTTGAAAGTGACTTGTCTCTGGTGTTTTCAGTGTTTGCATACTACCCGTTTGCCAGGCTTACTGCCAGGTCTTTTGGGCACTGAGACACAGCTCTGCCCCAGGAGACTCCAGGCAACCTCAACCAAGGGGTGCACTGATGATGAACCATGACAAAGACTTGAGGTCTGTTGCCATAATGTAACAAAAATCCAGTGTAAGCTGCTTTATGGCATTATATTAAGTCAGTGAGGTTTTCAATTGTGTGCTTGTGGTGGTTATAGCAAAAAGGAAGGAGGGGTCTTCTCAACTCAGAGAGAAAATGCAGGAAAAGTGTCTGCTTCTGTTGCCTTTTCCCCTGAGCAAAGCCTGTGTTAAGGCAGAAGCCTTCAGCAGTGCCTGCTGTCCTCTAACCACAGATCTCAGCAGAGACTAGCTCCCTAGGCAAGAGTGAGTACTCTACGGGTAGCCTCTGTCATAAGTGTAACACTATTTTCTCATGAAAGGAGGACAACATCATTACTTGAAGTGTACAAATCTATTTTCTTGTTGCTTTATAAGTTGGCCCCGTTCTGTTTGCGAGTATTAAGTCGTCTACTTAAGATAAAATGTTTACTTTGATGGTTCTCTTTTATAGATAATCTACAATTTCAGACATTATTTCAAGTGCTAGGTTTCCCTAGTTGTTTTTCTTGACTCTAAAATGAATTTATTGAGCAGTCTATTCACATGTTTGAAAGCTTTCAAAAAGGTAACATCCTCCATCTGTAACGGATGTTGTGGTGAATTCTTTTTTTTTTTTTTTTTTTTTTTTTTTTTTTTTGAGACGGAGTCTTGCTCTGTCACCCAGGCTGGAGTGCGGTGGCCGGATCTCAGCTCACTGCAAGCTCCGCCTCCCGGGTTTACGCCATTCTCCTGCCTCAGCCTCCCGAGTAGCTGGGACTACAGGCGCCGCCACCACGCCCGGCTAGTTTTTTGTATTTTTTAGTAGAGACGGGGTTTCACCGTGTTAGCCAGGATGGTCTCGATCTCCTGACCTCGTGATCCGCCCGTCTCGGCCTCCCAAAGTGCTGGGATTACAGGCTTGAGCCACCGCGCCCGGCCGTGAATTCTTAGAAAGTGAGCAGCCCTGTCCAGTCCTTTCACCTCCCAATTAGTGCTACACTTCATTGATATAAGACTGACTTTTCCTGAGTGATTACTTACCTTTCTCATTCTGTTCTGAACTTGTGAAATAGTAACAGTATTCTGTAGAAGTCGTGCATTCTAAGACCTTTAGTTCATGCCAGACTACAGTGGTTTCTTGAGTACATTCATAATGGAAGGCAATAGTAAATTTCAGAGTTAGCGAAAATAAAGATGTGATTTTTTTCCCATATAAGCATACGGTCCCCTTTGGGGCTCATGGATCACAGGTTAAGAATCTCTGCCCCAGCCTGTTGAAAATGCAGGTTGAGATGGTGTTCCCTTCTAGAAGACTTAAAATATCATTTGATTTATATCTTTGAGTAACATTGTATCATGTGGCCTGCTTTGGTTGTAGTAGTTGTGAAACCAGTGAAGTTTGTTTTGTGTTTTCATCAGGGTCAACAGTTGTCACCGACAGATGGCTGAGATTGCTGTGAATGCCGTCCTCACTGTAGCAGATATGGAGCGGAGAGATGTTGACTTTGAGCTTATCAAAGTAGAAGGCAAAGTGGGCGGCAGGCTGGAGGACACTAAATTGATTAAGGGCGTGATTGTGGACAAGGATTTCAGTCACCCACAGATGCCGAAAGTAAGCCATTGCATTTCACAGCTTTGCACTGTTGATTAACTCTTAATTCCACCAATTAAAATGTCTTTATGTTCCCCCATAGAAAGTGGAAGATGCTAAGATTGCAATTCTCACATGTCCATTTGAACCACCCAAACCAAAAACAAAGCATAAGCTGGATGTGACGTCTGTTGAAGATTATAAAGCCCTTCAGAAATACGAAAAGGAGAAATTTGAAGAGATGATTCAACAAGTAAGGCTTACCAGAGTCCTCAGTGGAATTTAAACTCCCAAAGGGTACAATTAGTTAGGTTTGGTTAGTAAATACGTGTAGTCTTTCTTCAGTTCTAAAACATACACAGGAAAAAAATCACATAGAAAAGCATAAACAGGGAAGAATTCTGGTTTTGTCTTAAAATGGTAGCGTGTTCAGGCAGGGTGTGGTGGCTCACGCCTGTAATCCCAGCACTTCGGGAGGCCAAGGCAGGCTGATCATGAGGTCATCGAGACCATCCTGGCTAACACGGTGAAACCGCATCTCTACTAAAAATGCAAAAAATTAGCCAGGCGTGGTGGCAGGCACCTATAGTCCCAGCTACTCGGGAGGCTGAGAAAGGTGAATCGCTTGAACCCAAGAGGCAGAGGTTGCAGCAAGCTGAGATCGCACCATTACACTCCAGCCTGGGTGACAGACCGAGACTCTGTCTCGAAAGGTAGTATGTTCAGGGTCCTGAAAGAAGTGACCCTGTTACCTAAAGCCATGTTTTCAATTGTACATATTATATTTGCTCTCCTGGACAAATTGAATGTAGCTTAAGATTTCTGACTATACATTTTAGACAAGAGTTAATGAGTAACTGGCGTTAAACCAGAATGCACTTAGAGTCATCCCAGTTCTTCGCTCGGTTAAGTCTAGTTTGGGTTATGAATACCTTAGCATAGGTATGCTTTCTCTCTGACCTACCAACTCCTCTTTGGGGGCTGTGTCCTTGGGAGTTGAAAACACCGGTACTCAAGAAGACAGGAACGTGTTGGTTAGAGCATTATTTATCATAGCAAACCAACTAGAGACGATTTTCATGTCTGTTCCTGGGAAAGTCATTGTACTTACTAATTGATGATACAGTTCTTTGTGCCTACGACGTACCAGGCTCTGTTGTAGGCATTAAAGGTACAGCAGGGAATGAAGCCAAGCTTGTGCTCTTGAGGCACAAATAGGGGAAAGATGGGTACAGCTCCATTACAGACATTGGTCAGAGACATGACCTGTAAGGAGAGGCCAACATTGAGTGAGAGTAGCGCCGCTAGGGGTGGAGCATTCCAGGCTGAGGACAGAAGGGGATGCTGTTGAGCTAGGAACGTGTTGGCTTCTACAAGGAACAGCCACCCTCGGGCTGGAGCATGCTGGCAGGAGCTTATGCATGAAAGGCCATCAGTGGTCATGAGAATGGTGGCTCAGCTGCACTGGCAGGTCAGAGATAAACTGAGAGGCCAGGGATGTTACTGGATCATGCTGGTGAGGCGCAGGTTGCTGAGAATGAGAAAGGAAGGGGGATGGGGCTAGACGCTAAAAATGTTAAAGAATGAGAGGCAGGGACCCAAAGAGGAACATTGTAGGTGACTGAGGAGCAAGAAGGACCCGTCTCCTGTTTTGAGCACGTGAGAGGGAAAGCAGCTGCCGTCTGAGGAGGGTTGCAGGTGCAGGCTGGTTTTCAGGGGTTGTATAAGGAGGCTGCTGTTCTGGACTGAGTTCAGAAGGTCAGGGAAGGAAGAGAGAGAGAGCCAGGCAGTAGCAGGTGGTCTGGGAGGCCTGATGGAGACAGGTAGGTGAGAGTTGTGGGGCATGGCGTGGCAGTCCCAGGTGAACACCAGAGGTGGGGTGGGCAGCCGGATCGTTGCCCTCCTATTTGGGAAAAGTCACTTTGCCCTTTGCAGGTCGGGGTGAGGGTGCTTCTTACGGGAAGCAGGGTCGCCTCTGTGGGCGCCTGATTTAGTTTGTGTCTATGGATCCACTGAGGATTGTCCATCCAGGTGAGATGGGCAGGTTGCAAGTGGTTCATAACATTGTTTAAAACATACTCAGATGAAACTACTCCGTAGGTATTTGTGGACAGAGCTGTTAGCCATTTCCCCCGTGGTTGGGAAGGGTATTAGCTTTGTTTGTTGACATTTCTGTTGACTTCGCATCGTTTTAACAATAGGGTTCAGCATGAATTACTGCTTGTGGTTTTTAAAGCATCTTTAAACAATGAGGGTGATCCCCATTGATAAAATACTATTTAGAATTTGGAACTGACAGAAAAGTGGACACTTGTCTATTTCCTTCCTTCTCTTTCCTTTGGTTTTGTGTTCAAGTGCACATGCCTTACACCCAACTGTGCCTCTCCTTTTTTCAAACATTATAGCGAAGAATAAATACCCACTTTCTCTTAATGCGATTGCGGTGTTTCTTTTCCCAGATTAAAGAGACTGGTGCTAACCTAGCAATTTGTCAGTGGGGTTTTGATGATGAAGCAAATCACTTACTTCTTCAGAACAACTTGCCTGCGGTTCGCTGGGTAGGAGGACCTGAAATTGAGGTAGGTTGCTCCACATGAAGAGACTTTGAGATGTAGGGGTTCAGCTTACGTGTTGGGTGTTTTGATAGCCCTGCCTTAAATAACTGCATCATACCAAGGCTGGGAGATGAGGGGAGGGTGAGCTGGGAGAGAGGAAAGTGCTGGAATCTTTGTTACTGTTTGGATAACAGTGCTGTGTGTTTCTGGTGTTCCCTGGCATGTTGAAATTCTCTCCCTGTGTTGTCTCACTTGGCCCTATCGTTGACTTACTAAGGCTGGAAGACCTGGTCTCATCCAGATACTAACAGCAGTCCCAGGCAGTGCTGCCTCAGTGGTTCTCACTGCAGCAGAGTGCAAGGAACTTGCAGGCTGGGTTCCCAGAGAGAGGGAGGGCTGCGCAGAGGGGAGATGAGGGCATGAGCTTAGGGGACAGGCACAGGGTGATAGATCCGGGCAGCACCAAAGCCCCAGATCAAGACGCCCAGCTCCTCAAGAGCCTTGTTACCTAACAAGGTGCTTTGGGTTGAACTGAAGATGTTTTGGTCAAAGTGGGGCAGCAGTTCTAGTGAACAAGGTGGTCTTAGATCAAGTTTTGCTCATTTGTGCCCAGTTTTGAAAGTTAACTTCACCAGTACTGTCTTCGTCCTTCTCCCTGACCACCCCGACTAGCTGATTGCCATCGCTACAGGAGGTCGCATCGTCCCCAGGTTCTCAGAGCTCACAGCAGAGAAGCTGGGCTTTGCTGGGCTTGTACAGGAGATCTCATTTGGGACAACTAAGGATAAAATGCTGGTCATCGAGCAGTGTAAGAACTCCAGAGCTGTAACCATTTTTATTAGAGGAGGAAATAAGATGGTGAGAATTCAACTATTTGTCCTATACTATTGCTTATTTTGCTTCATGGTCTGGTTTTTTTGCCTGTATATATTTAACAGAGACACAGTCACCCTAAGAAAAATAATCATGTTTCTCAAACAGTGATGTATCATGGTTAATTTCACGAGGCACATTTGCCTTTCTGCTATCCCTTATAGTATACAATATACACTATGAGATTTTTATATCTTTTTAAATACTTAAACACGGTTTAAATATTCAAGTCTTGGATTTTAGAATGTTGGGTACAATTACCTTAGGGGTTGGTTAAACTGCTAGTCCTAGCAACATAAGATTCCTTTTAATAACAAATTACAATATGGTATTCCCAAGGATGACTTACATCTGTCCCTAAGGTAGAAAAAGGGAACCCAAGTGAATAACCATCGATGATCTCTGTTCTTTGAGAATGAGTTGTAGCACATTGTGATAAATCTTTTCGAGGTTTGTCGGTTTTTGACTCTTGCTTAACCGTGTATCCTAGAATGGGTCACTGGCCACCTCTGCCTCTTGAATTTTACTAACTACGTTACAGGAAGGAAAGCTAGAAAGATACAGATCATCCGATAGTGGAGGCCATCTAAATATTAGAGCACAGCCTGTCTGTCTTTAAAAAGGTGCCAGATACTTGCCTCTAAATTGAATAGATCTTGATCACATTAATTTAGGCAAAGCTGTTTTCCTTAGATCATTGAGGAGGCAAAACGATCCCTTCACGATGCATTGTGTGTCATCCGGAACCTCATCCGCGATAATCGTGTGGTGTACGGAGGAGGGGCTGCTGAGATATCCTGTGCCCTGGCAGTTAGCCAAGAGGCGGATAAGGTAAGAGAGATGTGCAGACCTAGTGAAAGACTCAGGCCTCGCCGATAGTGGAGGCTGTGAGGCTGCAGAACAGCGAGGTGCTGGACGCAAAATGAACAAAAGCATCGTGAGCTGTGTGTAGGTGACAGGTGTTTTAATCTAAGTTAATTCCCATGTTCCTGTATTCAGATTCAGGTTACAATAAACTAGCATTTCTCAGCTGTTTTCAGCCAGTTCATCCTTAAAATAATAAATCTCTGGTCTTTTAATGTTATGTGAAATTCAAAATTAGTAGTATAACTTAAAGTCGTAAGAGCTGCTGTATTTTGAGACATCTCTCATGTATGTATACCCTCTGCCCGTATTCTGTAGTGACATTATAATATTCTGATAGATACAAAAATAGAGACAGCCTATTCTTAAAAGTCTTTGTGAGCTGACTTTTCCAAGTATGTGATACAGTGTGTTTTCAAGGTGCTGCTGGGTTGTTTTGTTTTGCCAAGTGCACTTACCAGACCTCTGCACCTTTCCAGTGCCCCACTTTAGAACAGTACGCCATGAGAGCGTTTGCCGACGCGCTGGAGGTCATCCCCATGGCCCTCTCTGAAAACAGTGGCATGAATCCCATCCAGACGATGACCGAAGTCCGAGCCAGACAGGTGAAGGAGATGAACCCTGCTCTTGGCATCGACTGTTTGCACAAGGGGACAAATGGTGAGGAGCTGTCACACCTCTGCGTGGGGTGTCTGATTTAAACTGAATAATCATCCACTGTGTGTACTGTGAGATGATGGTATCTTTCTAAATATGTAAACCCACTTCAGGTGTTCAAATCCTGAATTTTAGAATGTTTGATTGATTGCCATAGGAATTGGTTAGACTACTAGACCTAGCAACATAAGACTCATTTTAATAACAGTAAACTACATATGGTACTATCACCAAAGATGACTTAGGTTTTAATCTCTGGTTTTTGGGAAGTAATGCCATATTGCTGTTTTTACACAAATGTCTGTCAGTGGACAGCGTATAAAACAGCTCTGAAGTGGGCTTTAGTTCACAGTTCACTGTGTGGTTAATCCAGCACACTGTGGAGTGTTTTCTAAATGTAATACTATAACCTCTGTAGCCCAGCTCCCAAAAAGATACGGTGGCTGTAGCTTGTTGAAACAGTGGTCCCAGGCATTTCTGTACTAAATCAGGCCATGTCTGTAATCCATCCACAGAATGTGACAGTTTGTTTTTGCTTAAAAGTATAGATAGTACATTCTGCTTTCCATACTTATATCCCAAGAGTTTCAGTAATAGCAACTCTTTGTGAGACAAATATTTAATGTTTCTAACTTGAATGCTTGGTTGTGCTCAAATTTAGCATTTCTAGGGCCGGGCTCAGTGACTCATGCCTGTAATCCCAGCACTTTAGGAGGCCAAGCTGGGTGGATCACCTGAGGTCAGGAGTTTGACACCAGCCTGACCAACATGGTGAAACAGCATCTCTACTAAAAATACAAAAATTAGCTGGGCCTGGTAGCGGATGCCTGTAATTCCAGCTACTCAGGAGGCTGAGGCAGGAGAATCACTTAAGCCCAGGAGGCAAAGGTTGCAGGGAGCCAAGATCACACTATTGTACTCCAACCTGGGTGACACCTGTCTCCAAAAAAAAATTTGCATTTCTAGATCGTTCTTGGAAATATCTTACATTTCAGCTGTGGTCGGATTCACTTACTTTAGATTTCCTAAGTTAGGGTATGGTCACTTTGCGGGATAAGATGTTACTGAAAAATTTCACCCTGTAGCTAGTCATTGAAGAAAGCCCCCTCTCAACAGCTCTGTCTACCAGGTTCGAGTTCCAGAGTGTCCTTGGAAATAATGAAATTACATTCATCTGAAAATGAAATAGAACTGAAATTAGTGGCCTCCTGCTCGGCTTCCAGGAGTTTTGTATTTCTTAAGTCTTACTGTGATTCCATAAACCAGAAAGTCAGAGCTGGTTATTGATAGTTTATTGTATGCTATTTTAGGATAATCAGTTTCCTTGTACTTTTCAGATATGAAGCAACAGCATGTCATAGAAACCTTGATTGGCAAAAAGCAACAGATATCTCTTGCAACACAAATGGTTAGAATGATTTTGAAGATTGATGACATTCGTAAGCCTGGAGAATCTGAAGAATGAAGACATTGAGAATGCTATGTAGTAAGATCCGCTTCTGTGATTAAGTAAATGGATGTGTTGTGATGTGTCTACAGTTATTTATTGTTACATCCTTTTCCAGACACTGTAGATGCTATAATAAAAATAGCTGTTTGGTAACCATAGTTTCACTTGTTCAAAGCCGTGTAATTGGGGTACTATCTCAACATGCTTTTGTATTCATTGTATTAAAAGAATCTGTTTAAACAACCTTTATCTTCTCTTCAGGTTTAAGAAACATTTATTGTAACAGTAATTAAATGCTGCCTTAATTGAAGGGGTTTCGGTGGATTTTTTTTTTCCCCTCAAAATAAGCTGTAGGAACTATTTTAACAGCTTAAACATGAGCTCTCAAGATGCACTTTCATATTGAGAGGAGTATAGGCTTGATCCTCTTCCTATCTAAATGGGTGGGCCCTTTGTAGAGGGTCCACCACAGAATTATGGGGTGCCTTAAGTGCTGTTACTAGGTTGCTCACAGCCTAACCGAGGATATTGTTTAGAGCTGATGGAGACCCATGTGAGCCTTTGCTTTCCTCTGGCCCTGGCCCCACCCTGAACACAGCTCATGTGCAGAATCAGAAGCGGCATGTGCAGAGCTGACCATGAGCACAGGCTTAGGGCAGTTCAGAACCCACTTGTTTTCCTATCAGAGGGACACGGTTAAGTGGAGGTTAAAGTAAATTACAGGAAATAAGGGAGAAATCTTGCAGTTACCATGTTCAGATAGAGTGACTGAAATTAATTGCACTTACTAATACTTTAGTACTAGCTAACAGTGATGGGCCAAGACATGCTCCGAGAACTCTACCAGGATTGTCTGTTCTCACAACCCAGTGAGGCAGATACCCTTTCCTACCGCTCACATCTTACAGGTGAGTACTAAGAATTTGCCAGCATCTCACCACCAGCAAGTAGTAGGGCCAGGTCAATCCCAGGCAGTCTGCCCCGGAGTGGCCCAGCTCATCCCCTACCCTATTCTGCTCTTTGCTTGTGATTCTCTAGATTTTCTAACATAGTGTTTCTTAAAGAGCATCGTGATGATAAAGCTCACCGTGATGAACTTTATCACTAGTTATGCCACCTTAACTAGTCAGATTCCCTAGAATTAGGAAATGGTGACTCTTATCTACATTTGCTTAAGTAATTAATTTGGGTTACCTTCTCACGTGAACCTGGAGATTTCCGAGTCTTAACTATTGGGTCATTGTGTTTTCTCTGTACATTCATGCATTGGATGTTTTGCTAAATAACTCCTGTGGATTTAGGAATGTGTGCTAATAATTGCATTCTTCCTAATTTTCACATTTATATGGAACTGTGCAGTTAGTATTGAAAGCTTTAAACTGAGTTTATTTACAAGGACTGATTCTAGCCTACAGAGAACATACGGCAGCCTTCTTTGGACCAGAGTATTATCCGAAGGGTCCGTGGTTGTATCAGAAGAGCCACTAAACCAGTCCCCCTTTCCAAAATTGAACCTCACAGACATTCCTGGTGTTTTTTTGTGGTTGAGAAACTGGTCAATGAACAGAGAAACTTAGAGATGTTTTACAAGCCTTTCATGTTTAATGAGTTTCATTTGTTGATTTGTAATAAACCTCTTCCAGGTGATGTATTTTATCTTTCACGTTCCAAATCACTCAAGTTTGATTTTGCTGGTACTTTGGCCACACCCTCTCCTTCCTTATGTGGAGCAAAAGCAACTTAGGGTGCTTGACCCAAAGGCTAGATTCCCATGTAAGTCCCCATGTTTTACTGCTGGTTCCCAATTTCTACACGTGCTGGATTCATTGGAGGTTTGTTAAATGTCGTGTTTTTAATTTCGGCCTACTCAATTTCCATGTGGGGGTGGTTCCAGGATGTCCTGCAGGTGCCACATTTCATGGATGCTCAAGTCCCTGATAAAAATAGTGTGGTGTTTGCATATAACATACATCCTCCTGTATACTTTAAATCATCTCATTATTCATAATACCTAAGGTAAATGATATGTAAATATCATACTGTATTTAGGGAGTAATGACAAGAAAAATCTACATGTTCAGTACAGAGGCAATTTTTTTCCCTGAGTGTTCTCAACCTGAGGTTGGTTGAATTCAGATGAGGATCAACTCTGTAAGCAGCTGCTGTGAAGCACAAATGCCTCTGGGAGGGCTGAGAGGCCCGTCTTTCTTTTACATGGGACTGAATTTCTTGAATCTCATTTTCTTTCTGTAGGTGAAACAGCTGCAACAGATTAGGGGTTGGGGGGCCAGAGGAAGGTGACATGGTAGTAATTGACTAATCAGTAATTTGTAAGCATGGAGAAGTTTCTCCAACCTAGGTGTTTCTTGCAGGCAGCCTTGGCAGGACGGGGTCATCTAAAAGCACCAGAAAAGTAGGGACCAAAGGCAAATGCCCGAGAAAGTGTTGCAGGGCAGGAAAAGTGGGGAAAATAGGACAAAGTAGTAAAGATGTAAATATGTGTGGCCTATCACGGCTCTAAATGGTTTATGTACATTAAAACTGGTTCAAAGTCTGCTCCGTGGATCCCTCGGGGTCCAGGGCCCTTTCAAGGGGCCCAGGAGGTCAGATGTATTTTCCTACATTAAACTTAATGCCTTTTTCACTGTGTTGACATTTGCACTGATGGTGCAAAAGCAATCACCATTAAAACCACAGCTTAGTGTGAGGCAGCGGCATCATACACTTTCAAAAAGAAAATCATTTTTTTGGCCAGGTGCAGTGGCTCGCGCCTGTAATCCCAGCACTTCGGGAGGCTGAGGCAAGAGGATCACTCTAGCCCAGGAGTTAGAGACCAGCCTGGGCAACATAGACCCTGTTGCTACCAAAAATAAGTTAGCTGGGCCTGGTGGCCTGCTCGTGTGGTCCCAGCTACTTGGGAGACTAACGTGGGAGGATCCTTTTGAGCCCAGGAGGTTGAGGGTGCAGTGAGCCATGATCACACCCCTACAATCCAGCCTGAATGACAGAGCAAGACACTTTCTCAATAATAAAGGATGAATCTTTGACGTTGCATAATGAAATGTGTCAACAACTGGAAGATCTCACTAGACCGATATTTGCCAAATATGCATATGATGTTACAGTGTCATGCACAGGTATAAGACCTTTTCAAAATGCAAGATGGACCAGTGTGACAGAAGAAAGTGTATTTAGTCTATCGCTTGGTTTTGGTGTAATATTGAAGAATATCCAGTTTTGTGAAAGGCAATTAAAATACTACTCTTTTCCAACTACGTATCTGTGTGGCCCAACTATATTCCAGAACATGCTGTGGCTAGGCACAGTGGGTCATGCCTGTAACCCCAGCACTTTGGGAGGCTGAGGCAGGAGTATCGCTTGAGCCTAGGAGTTCGAGACCAGTCTGGGCAACAAAGTGAGACTCTTGTCTCTACAAAAAAAAAATTTTAATTAGCAGGGCGTGGGGATGTGTGCCTATAGTCTTTTTTTTTTTTTTTTTTTTTTTGAGACGGAGTCTTGCTCTGTCACCCGGGCTGGAGTGCAGTGGCCGAATGTCAGCTCACTGCAAGCTCCGCCTCCCGGGTTTACGCCATTCTCTTGCCTCAGCCTCCCAAGTAGCTGGGACTACAGGCGCCCGCCACCTCGCCCGGCTAATTTTTTGTATTTTTTTTAGTAGAGACGGGGTTTCACCATGTTAGCCAGGATGGTCTCGATCTCCTGACCTTGTGATCCGCCCATCTCGGCCTCCCAAAGTGCTGGGATTACAGGCTTGAGCCACCGCGCCCGGCCGTGTGCCTATAGTCTTACCTACTTGGGAAGCTGAGGCAGGAGGATCTCTTGAGCCCAGGGGCTTGAGGCTTCAGTGAGCCATGACCATGGTGTTACTTGCGTTGAATCTGTACGGGTCTGCAACAGCCTCAGTTCTTGCCTCCTCAGAAGAAAGAATTCGACTGAGGAGCGTAATGCAGAAGGAGAGATCAAGGCAAGTTTTAGAGGAGGAGTGAAGGTTGGTTAAAAAGCTTTAGGCCAGGCGCAGAGGCTCACACCTTTAATCCCAGCACTTTGGGAGGCCAAGGTGGGCAGATCACTTGAGATTAGGAGTTTGAAACCAGCCTGGCCAACATGGTGAAACCCTGTCTCTACTAAAAACGCAAAAAAATTAGCCGGGTGTAGTGGCAGGAGCCTGTAATCCCAGCTACTCGGGAGGCTGAGGCAAGAGAATCGCTTGAACCAGGGAGGCAGAGGTTGCAGCGAACCCAGATCACGTCGCTACACCCCAGCCTGGGTGACAGAGGAAGACTCCGTCTCAAAAACTAAAACTAAAAATAAGCTTTAGAGCAGGAATGAAAGAAAAGTGCACTTGGAGGAGGACCAAGCAGGCGACGAGAGCGCCAGTGAGGGCTGGGCCTTTAAACTTGGGGTTTTATATGTTGGCGTACTTCCAGGGTCCTGTGTTACTTCTCCCCTGATTATGCCCCTGGCGAGGGCTGTCGCATGCGCAGTGGCCTGCCTGCACTTGGGAGAGGAGCAGGGCAGTGTGTTCAGTAAACACACTGAGTTCTACACATGTTCACTTCAGGCCTTCTCTTACCGGTCTAGCATTCCGGTTAGATGACGCCATTTTGCCTCTTAATGCGCATGCTTGAGCCCACCTGCGCCACTCCTGAGATCTTGTCGGGAAGCGGCTCATCACCAGTTTCAGGTGTTTTCTATCTATTGGGAGCCTGCCCTTCCCTGGCACCAGCTGTGACCAACTATTATTTTAGGGTAACAGTTAACTGCCTGACCATCACCTGAGGGTCAGCTGGCATCACCTGAGGCGGCAAAGGGTTAGGGGCCGCTGTTTCTGCCCTGCTTATGCCTGACTAGCTACCTACTGTTAACACTGCCACTGCATTCCAGCCTGGTCAACAGAGTGAGACCCTGACTCAAAAAAAAAAAAGTGTAAAAGAATCCTGAAACCAAAACATTTGATCCTCATCGTAATCCTAGTCATTGACAAGTCCAAGAGACACTGCATAATTTGAATGGACCGCTGCCTTATGGAAATAAACTTTTTAACTTTATCATAGTTTTCAGTATAAGCAGCTGAAAATGTCCACTTAGCAGGCTATTTATCACATGATCTTGACGCCTACTGCAAAAACACAACTGAGGCCAGCAGTGTGGACTTTCAGCTCGTCGGTGCCCACTTCGCTGGCAGCAGCTCATCCTCCCTCACCTCCTGTGGGAGGCAGAATTCTAAAGCTGTGCTCCCAGGAGCCCATCTGGTTATTCCTTCAGGCACTGATCTAGATACTGGGAGAAGGG